AACCCAATTTTCCCCCAAAATAAACCCTCCATCTTCCCCAAAAAACCCCCCTAAAATCCCCATTTAATAACTCTCCTCCCCCTATTTTTAACTGACAAAACCCTTTGTTTTTCTAGGCTTTCCCTTAAAATTTTTAAAACTCACTCCAAAACTTTTTCTTTTTTTTCAAACAAAATTGTTGATAACATCCACCCACCCCTCTCATTTCCCTCTTTTTTCATTGCTTCACCACTTTTCTTTTAAATTCTCTCTTTTTCTCCAATACTCTTCCCTCCTTTCATCACTTCTACTTTTTAAAAAATTCTCATATGCTAAATTTTTTTTCCTTACACTCTCCCTTTAAAATCAACATTCCACCAAACGCTCCTCTTCCCCTGGGACCCAATTTTCCCGTAACCACAAAATTCTGCTGAAAAATTTTAACCTACATTTTTTAAAAAACCCACCCCATAACCCCCTTCGACCCCCTTTTCCTTGCCTCAATTAGCCCAACTTCCTCCAATAGCGTTTATATCTTTCCCTAAAATGCCCCCCTTTTTGTTTATAAACCTTTACCTCTCTCTTCCCTGAGCTTCATTTTCCTTGTATTTCCCCCACCTTTTTCTCCAGGGGGACAAAAACTAGAAAGGGTCTGATAATCTGTGGCCCCTCTATAAACATGTACATCCTGAAGCTCTCAACCGTTCCCTTTTTTCTACCAATACATAATCCAACAAACCAATGTCCCTTTTGCCCTACAAACATACGTGGGAAAACTTATTTTTTCCTCTTTTTTTTAAAATAGTAAATTTCCCATAACTTTAAAAACCCCTTTTTTTTACAAAAATTTTAATCAAAGGGCTCCCCTTATAAATTTTCACCTGGGACCCCAAAATTAAACCCACCACACCCTCTTTTAAAAATTTCTCCCCACTTTAGCAAAATTTAACCCCCCACCACAATTACTCTTCACTTGGTTTAAAGGCCCCCTAAAACATTCACTTAACATCCCCCCAAAATCTCCCCTCTCTCCTCTCATTCCTCTCTTCCCCCAGGTGCAAACCACGCTTATTTTTGACCCCCCTTTCGCATCCCAACCCTTTTCTTTAAAAACCACAAAAATTTTTGAATTTACACATTCCCTATTTTTCTTTTTCCCTTTTCCCTAACTGATCAAATTTAAAATTACTGCTACCCTTCCTTTGCTCTAACTCTCCAAAAATACTCCAATTTTTAAACCCATTTAATTTTTCCCCCCACTTAAACTCTCCTACCCCCTTCAGCTTTTTTTTCGCTTAGGGCCAGGGGCCTCCAACTTCTTTTCAAATTTTATAAAAATCAGCAATCACTGTTTCTTGCAAACCGCACTACATCCACGCAAAATTTAAGGGAACCCAGTTTTTTTTAAAAAAATTTTTCTTTTTCTCTTTTTTAAATAAATTGGGAAAACAGAGAAGGGGGTTTCTAAGGGCCCCTTGCTCCCCGGGAAATTTTTGTCCCCTCAAAAACGAAACGCAAAGGCCCTTTCGGAGGAAAGATTTCCCTTTTCCCCCTTCCCCCTGGACAATAGAAGAAATAAAAAAGGGAAAAAGAGCCATTTTGAAAAAGGAAAAAACCTGATGGATGTTTTAAAATAAATGCATGTGCGTGCTGGAAGTGTGAAACCCAAAATGTAATTTGGGTTTCAAAATTCCCTGTTACTTTAAGGGGGTTTTTTGAGCCAAAAATAAAAAAATATATATATATATATATATAAATATATATATATATATATATTTTAAATATATAAATAAATATATAAAATAATTTTATTAAAATTATATATAAATATTAAAAATTTTATATAAAATATAAAAATTATATATTAAAAAAATTTTTATATATTATATATATTTTATAATAAAAAAATATATAAAAATATATTAATATTTTAAAAATTAAAAATTTTATAATATAATATATAATATATATAAAAAATATAATATAAAATAAATATAATTTAAAAAATATTTTAAATAATATAAATAAAAATTTTAAAAATATATATATAAAATAAATATATAAAAAAATAAAATAAAATTTTAAAAAAATATATTTAAAAATAAAAAAATATATATAAATAATAAATAATAAATATAATATATAAAATAAATTATTAAAAAAATAAAATAAATATAAAAATTTTTTTTTTTTTTTTTTTTTTTTTTCAACAAGTCGGCCCCTCTCCCCCCGACAGGGGTTTACCCAAAAAAGAAAGAAAAAACCCAAAAAAAAATACTTTTTATCAAACATTCCAAAACTTTTCCCCCACACTCGCCAAATTAAACACGTTTTTTGCAGAGGTGCTCAGAATACAACAGTCCCAAAGCAAAACAAATAAAGAAACACAACCTATCCCCCAAAAAAGCCAAAAATCCCAAAAAACCCCCTTTAAAAATGCAGGGGAATTTTTAAATTTTCCCCCCTTTCCCGGAAATCAAGCCGACCAAAATAAAATAACCGGGTTTTCCCGAATCCCTTCACTAAATTTTTACCCTGCTCACACCCAACAGATCGCAGGTCCCCCAAATAACCATTCGGGCTCCATTTAGTCCTATTTTAACCCCGCTCACGCACGCTTGCTGGAAGCCAAGCCCCTTTCCCACAAAACCTCCTTAACCCCCCCTCTCCAAAACCCCTTTTGAGGACGACCCCCCACCCCGCCCTTTCCCTTTCCCCATAATTTATATGCTTTCCAAGCCCTTTTACTGTGATCCGTCTCTCAAAGACCAAAACCCCCCCAACAACCCCCCTTTTGCCCCTGACTAATACTTTTTAAATTTAAAATCCACACCCCTTTCCAATTTCCACACTCCCCCTTTTCTGCATAAATTTACAACCCAAAACATTGCCCTTAAACAGGACATCCCGCTGGGCCTTTCCAAACCCTCTCCTCGCTTTCTGCAAATTTTTACCCAAGCTTCCCCCACCCCTATAAGAGTGTTGGGACTACTAACTTTAATACATTCCCTCTTTTCCCCCCATAGTAACGTTTTTTTGGGGCTCCATATATAAAAAAAATATAAATAAATATTATATAATTTAAAAAAAATATAAATATAATATATTATACTTCTTTCTTTCTTTTTAACACACCGGGGTGTTTTCCCCCCCCGGGGGCAGGGTTTGGGCCCAAAAAAAAAACAAAAGTTTTTTTTTCCCTTTTTCATTTAGTAATATATACAGAGAAGGGGTTTACAGCCCCTTTCTCCCGGGAATTTTTTCGGGCCTTTTTACAACACGCATGGCTTTCGGAGGAAAAAAATTTTTTTCCACTTCCCCAGGAGGTAAGAAAATAAACAAGAAAAAGAAAGAAAATAGAAAGAAAACCCAAAGGGGGTGGTTTTAAAATGCTTTTCATTATGGGGTAGTGTACCTAAGTGTAAGTAGAAAATAAACAAGACATCCTGGGAAAACCTGCATGTGTATGAGACAGAAAAAAAAAAAAAAAAAAAAAAAAAAAAAAAAAAAAAAAAAAAAAAAAAACCCAGCAATCCTACCCCTCTGGTTTAAAACCCTTTCAAGGGTTCCGTTTTACCCTTTACTTTGGGAGGGCGGTAGTAAACCCCCCTTGGGGGGTGCTGCTACCAACCTAAATACCTAGGTATATATATAAATAAATATATTAAAATTATATAAATTTTAAAAAATTTTAAATATTAAAAATATTAAAAATAAATATATATATATATATATATTAAAAATTAAAAATATAAAAAAATAATAAATAAAATAATTTTATAAATATAATATATATACATTTCATATATAAAAAATATATATATATAAAATATATTATTATAATAAATAAATATATATTATATATATAAAATAATAAAAATTTTATATATATAAAATATATATATATATATATAAAATATATATATATATATAATATATATATATATATAATATATATATATATATAATATATATATATATATATATATATATATATATATATATATATATATATATTTATTTATTTTGGGCCGCCCTGCCTTGGTGGGATATGGTCGGTAAGTTGAAAATAAAAAAATTACACCTACCATCCAACTTACGACCGAGTTCGGTTCCGAGAAGCCGGTCGTAAGTCGAACTTTACTACTGAATATCAACATAACATTTTTGTAATGACTATTTTATTGTTTTATTTTGGTATTTCATGTTTTACTTTACTTTTTATGCTGTTAGTACTGTATTTTATACTGTAAGGTTTAGGATAAACTCTGTGTACAACACAAACACTTGTTTATTTCCCAGAAATTTGGCATAAAAAACACGGTCGTAAGTCGAGTCGTCGTAAGTCGAGCAGGTCGTAAGTTGGATGGTAGGTGTATATATATATATTTTTTTTTTCAACAAACCGACCATATCCCACTGAGGCAGGGTGGCCCAAAAAGAAAAACAAAAGTTTCTCTTTTTAAATTTAGTAATTTATACAGGAGAAGGGGTTACTAGCCCTTTGCTCCTGGCATTTTAGTCGCCTCTTACGACACGCATGGTTTACGGAGGAAGAATTCTGTTCCACTTCCCCATGGAGGTAAGAGGAAATAAACAAGAACTAGAAACAAAATAGAAGAAAACCCAGAGGGGTATGTATATATATGCTTGTACATGTATGTACATGAATGTATGCCTCGGTGGGAGAAAGTATGTGTAGTGTGACCATTATCCAGGATGCTTATTCCCTGGAATGTCACACCAAGGGATATAGTAGACTATAGTGTATAACTATATAGACTCATATAGGAAGTAAGAAAAATAAATATACATAATAGATGAGAAAAACAAGAATGAAAAAGAAAAACAGAGATAAGACAACAAAAATAGGATTGGTAAGTGAACTTTGAATCAATATGTACTGTAAATATCAATTAATGATTCAACTTGGCCTGATAAAATCAGGAACTTCTTCAAAGTTACAGTATTTGTAAATTACTTGAAACAGAAACTTGCAATATAGAGAAAGATCAACTTACTTGTTTGAAACCTTAATTTTTCCATCTGCTCCTCCGACACCAGCTAACTTGCGACACCGATAATTTTCATAGTGAACGTTATTAGTCACATCTTTCAGGTCTTGCATGTGTGTACGGATCATCATGTTGCGCAGAGGTATGAAGTCACAGTGCTCTATGTTTTCAACTGAAAATAAGAATAATAATAACAACAACAACAATACACACAGTATATATTTACAGTATATGATCCGGTCACATCATCTTTACCACTCCAATGCTTTTATTGTCTTCACATCTGCCACCTCTGTGTTTGATTGATGAAGCCTACTGTGTAGGTGAAACTTTCTGGGAACGAAAATAACTAACCATTGAACAAGTTATCTTATCTACTTGTCAGTACTGTATATCATCATTATACTCTCTTGTTCACTCTCACTATCTCGCACATACCCTCTAAATACGAGCAGGATAATAGTTTGTGAACGGATTCAGGGAAACCAGTTAGCCGGACTGAGTCCTGGAGGTGGGAGGTACATTGCCTGCACTTTAGAGAAGGGGTTTGGTATATTGGCTGTTTGGAGTGACATCTGAACTGTTGTACCTGGGTGTCTCTGCAAAGACAGTGATGTGTGAATGACAGCGAAAGTGTTGAATAATGGTGAAAGTGTTTCTTTCTTTTTTGGGTCACCCTGCCTCGGTGGGAGACAGCCGACACGTTAAAAAAAAAAAGTAACAACAGTCATCCGTTGCCAAGGCAGGATGACTTATAGAAGAAAACAGTCATTAATCAAGTGTACTTCCAATGCAATAAAATTACTCTCTGACTGCAACATTCCCAGCCCTCCTCCAGTGTAGGCACTGTCCTTCCCATCACCAGGACTTAAGTCCAGCTAACCAGTTTCACTGAATCCCTTCACAAAGTTACCTTGCTTACACTTCAACAGCATGTCCATTAAAATCCACTTATCTCCATTTGCTCCTTTCCAATATGCTCACAAAAGCCTGCTGGATACTCACTGAGGAGAGTAAAAATGGAAAAAGGGAAGGAGGAAGATAGGGAAGTCGCAAAAAAGGAGGAGGAGGAGGAGAGGAAAGATGGGAGTTGGTATTACAATCAACTAAGACTCTCTAAACCAGTATCTGAAGCTCACCCCCATCCCCCTGTCTCCCATAAATTCAAGTAGAGAACTGCCTAGATCTAAGTAGTAGGCTGGTAGACAGCAAACACCCAGGGAGGTACTACCGTCCTGCCAAGCAAGTGTAAAACAAAAGCCTGTAATTGTTTTACATAATGGTAGGATTGCTGGTGTCCTTTTTTCTGTTTCATAAACATGCAAGATTTCAGGTACGTCTTGCTACTTCTACTTACACTTAGGTCACAATGCACATACATGTACAAACATACATATACTTACCCCTCTGGGTTTTCTTCTATTTTCTTTCTAGTTCTTGTTCTTGTTTATTTCCTTTTATCTCCATGGGGAAGTGGAACAGAATTCTTCCTCCGTAAGCCATGCGTGTTGTAAGAGGCGGCTAAAATGCCAGGAGCAAGGGGCTAGTAACCCCTTCTCCTGTATATATTACTAAATGTAAAAGGAGAAACTTTCCTTTTTCCTTTTGGGCCACCCCGCCTCGGTGGGATAGGGCCGGTGTGTTGAAAGAAGAACTGCCTAGATGCTAAACACCATATAAAAAAGATATTATTGGTGATACAATTGTACAGGAATAGGGCAACTATGCCATTGAGAAACCAGACAACATTTCAACATAGTCCATCATTATAGTCCACTGTACCTCCTGCCAGTAATCCACAGATCCATGATTTATCACACTCCACAAACATGTATGTGACACTGACATCCTCTATATGATGTATTCTTAAGAGACCAAGTGTTGCACCGATTCAAATGGGTGACTAAGGTGGTGGGCATATAAAGACAATGGAGCAGAACTGGATGACCAAGAAGGTGCATAAATCCAAGGTGGAATGAAAGAGAGATAGGTGTCCAAAAGTTTTAAGGGGATAGGAGATTGAGCATTTTGCAGGTGGGTGCAAGAGTGTCAACCCTTTGACTGCTTCGGTCGTATATATACGTCTTATGAGCCAGTGTTTTTGACGTATTTATACACCAAAAATTCTAGCAGCTTCAAATCAAGCAGGAGAAAGCTGGTACGCCTACATGTGAGAGAATGGGTCTGTGTGGTAAGTGTGTGTAGTATAAAAAAATTCTGCAGTATGTAGTGCATAATGAGAAAAAAAAACTGACCGTGTTTTTGGATTAAAACACCGACTTTGAGGTGTATTTTCGAATACTACTTATGGTTGTATTCTCGTTTTCTTGGTCTCTCATTTGACAGAATGGAAGACATATTACAGAAATAGAGATGATTTTGATTAGTTTCACAATGAAAAGGACCTTGAAATTGAGCTCAAATTAGCGGAAATGTTCGATTTTGCCGATGTTCAAGAGTAAACAAATGACATCATTGTCCAATAAGTGTCCAATGAGCCATTCATATACACAGTCATGAATGGGTTGACATTATTTATACAATTATTACAATACTTCAGTAGTCTGCATAATAGCAAATTTTCTATTTTTTGTGTGAATAAAAATTCAAAATAGAAAGCAAGAGTAATATAAGAGGGGCCTGGAGGCATGACTGATGAACAGAGAAAATGTTATTTTAGTGCCAGGAATGTCTGCATTGCTCATTCTGAACCCTAATTTGAAAGTGGCATCTTTTTTAATTTGCATGAAATTGGCCAAATTGCCAAATTCTGATCACTTTATTGGGTAGTTGAAATCAGTAAATGGGTGGTTTCTTGTACTCAATCGATAGAACAAACGGAGTTCTAAAGAAATAGCTATGAGTTTGGTCAACTGGAACAATGGAATTTGCCGAGAATAGGGTTCAAAGTGGGCGAAATCGCCAATGCGTGAACAATGCCGAGATCGCTAACCTCGCGAGAGCATAATTCCGTAAGTTTTCCATCAAATTTCGTACTTTTGGAGTCATTAACATCGGGAAAAAATTCTCTATCATTTCATAAGATTTTTTTTTTTTTTTTCAAAAATTTTGTGACACAGACACTAAGATTTGTGGTCGCGACAGTCAAAGGGTTAAATAAGAGTGGAAACAAGCAGTTTTAAGGATTTGAGGTGATGCTGGAGTGTAAGCAGTTTAACATTTATGAAAGTATTCAGGGAAACTGGTTAGTCAAACTCAAGTCCTAGAGGTGGTAAGTACTATGCCTGTACTTTGAAGGAGAGGCTGGGGTGTTGTAGTTCAGAGGATCATTTTAATTGTGATGTCTGTGCACTTCTGGTAAAAAAAAAGCTATTACTGAGCAGAAATAAATATTTCCTTTTTTGGACAACCCTACCTTGGCAGGAGATGGCCAGTACATTAAGTAAAAGAAAAAAGTGACTGCTAATATTTGCACTTCATTACTGTCCTATAACAAGGGTATAATGCAAACACTAAAATTTTAATTCATACTTCAACAAACTCACCTTCAACTATTCCCCAAGGGTATTTTCGACCTCTAACTTTTTTCCCTTCAACTTCGACTGTAGTATTGGACCCAACCACTGCAAATGGTACTCGCTGCTTCATTTTACTGCCAGCAGCATCACCTTCTTCATCTGGGAATTCATAAATCTTTATCTTGTGCTGAGCTATTTCATTAAGTACCTGAAAAAAAGTACAAAGCCAAATATTAATTTCTCCCAAACTCAATGTCAATTTTAGATGCTATGGTACTAAATTATTCATGATTAAACTATATTTACCACCATTAACTACATATACAGTATACTTTTTTTATGTCGTTTCATTTACCACTACAAAAGCAGAGTTTAGTCTTTTGAGCATTTCAAGATTCATTTACTTTTCAATTTAAAAATCACGAGTTTAAGCTACTGACATTGATTTCCCAGAGTATCAGAATCATACAATGTGTAAGTCATAGAGTGAAACAATTTTCCCTGTATCTCACCTGTTTTTTCAAGTGCTGACATTCATCAGGTGTGAGTGTATCTGCTTTGGCTATGACAGGAATAATGTTCACTTTGTCATGGAGACGTCTCATAAACTCAACATCGAGGGGTTTTAAACCATGGCCCGATGGAGCAATGAAGTAGAGACAACAGTGGACCTGTAATGGCCATGAAATATTCAAGGACAAACAGATTACATTCTAGTAACAAAATACATTATCACTCCAGGAACAAATTAGTCGACACAATTGTATATCACTTGGAGACACTACTGCAGAATTATGCATCTGAATTTTTAATGCAATGACTAAATAATAAAAACCTCAAAAGTACAATCTACAATTCTTCTTTTCTTCTTTCAACAAACCGGCCATATCCCACCGAGGCAGGGTGGCCCAAAAAGAAAAACAAAAGTTTCTCTTTTTTAAATTTAGTAATTTAAACAGAAGAAGGGTATACATTTTATTCTTAGCAATCAAATTTATCTAACACAGAGGTAGAATCCCACAACTTTACTTTATCACTAGAGTTAACTAAACTCAAATGATTCCAAGTCACAAATTTTTTACAATCCATATGCTCATCATCCATTAATATCTGCTCATGATCATTTCCCTGTGGCTCATTCTAGGACCATGTCTCTTGGTTACACATACACTACACTAATAGTGGGAGGTGAATCCATTTGACATGACACCAGTACAGTATTGTTCAGTAAGTGGTCTCATTCCAGAACTAGGTTCACCTCCAGCTATGGCATAGGGCACTGGTGTGAGGGTATTTGAATTCATGTAGTTTTTCATGCTTTTCTGCAGGACATCACATTTGACAAGTTGGGAAGGCCTAACTGGTGTACATTCTGTATGTACTGGCAAAATAGGCAGGTTTATATACAGGCAAAAAAAGTCGAGCATAACTTACTCGGCTATCACTAATCTGTGTTCTGTTGACTCTAGATTCACAATTAAGATATTCTTCATATTTTGTTTCCACATAGTCAGTGATGGGTTGCCAACTGAAAATATAATGAAGATAAGTGATAAGAACATTAGAATGTACAGGTATGAGCTAAAACTGAAAGCAACTTACAAAGTTCAAGAGATACAAAACAAAGCAAAAAATACCATTAGTGAGATTAAAACACAAAAGTATATCTTATCTCATACAAAATCCAGAGAAACCACTTTTTTCCACGTAGCTGAATTTATGGGCAAAGAACTATTGTCCTACCTCAGCTCATTTCAAAGCCCAGCCTTATCTAAGATATATTAACATCCTTTGGGATGTGATTTTTTTTTTTTTTTTTCAACAAGTCGGCCGTCTCCCACCAAGGCAGGTACCTGGGCAACACCCAGGTACCTACTCACTGATAAGAGAAAAGGGGCAACATGCCCAATGTTTCCATTCATACCAGGGATCGAACCACGGTCCCTTAGTATGTGAGCTGAGGAAGCTACCAACTGAAAACCCATTACAACCTGGTGTTTAGTGAACCAAAATACTAATGACCAGGAAGTAGTACAGTACCTTCCTGGATGATTACTGTCTATCAACCATTACATGGTAAATAATCACTACTTTGAATAGCCTTCCAATAATCCTATCTATTCAATCACATGGTAGGCGAGTCTAAGAAATATATGATTGGCTCACCAGTCACTGTTGTCGACAGCATCTCCGAACCCTGGAGTATCAACCACCGTCAACATCAGATTAACACCATTTTCCTTCAGAAGAACTTTGGTTGTCTCCACCTGGTTACAAAACAGTGTATGTAATGCCAAACCTATGTAAGCAGACCAAAATGGTAATTAAATAATCAATATATTTACAATTGAAAGATAAGGTGAATCATAGAACTGATGAAGGGAAAAAGGCGAGTGGTGCACTTAAGAGTCTGTGGAGACAAAGAACTTTGTCCATGGAAGCAAAGAGGGGAATGTATGAGAGTATAGTTATACCAACACTCTTATATGGGTGTGAAACATGGGGGGTTAATGCTGCAACAAGGAGAAGGTTGGAAGCAGTGAAGATGTCATGTCTTGAGGACAATGTTATTTTTAGTATTATTATCACACTGGCCGATTCCCACCAAGGCAGGGTGGCCCGAAAAAAGAAAAACTTTCACCATCATTCACTCCATCACTGTCTTGCCAGAAGGGTGCTTTACACTACAGTTTTTAAACTGCAACATTAACACCCCTCCTTCAGAGTGCAGGCACTGTACTTCCCATCTCCAGGACTCAAGTCCGGCCTGCCGGTTTCCCTGAACCCCTTCATAAATGTTACTTTGCTCACACTCCAAGAGCACGTCAAGTATTAAAAACCACTTGTCTCCATTCACTCCTATCAAACACGCTCACGCATGCCTGCTGGAAGTCCAAGCCCCTCGCACACAAAACCTCCTTTACCCCCTCCCTCCAACCTTTCCTAGGCCGACCCCTACCCCGCCTTCCTTCCACTACAGACTGATACACTCTTGAAGTTATTCTGTTTCGCTCCATTCTCTCCACATGTCTGAACCACCTCAACAACCCTTCCTCAGCCCTCTGCACAACAGTCTTGGTAATCCCGCACCTCCTCCTAACTTCCAAACTACGAATTCTCTGCATTATATTCACACCACACATTGCTCTCAGACATGACATCTCCACTGCCTCCAGCCTTCTCCTCGCTGCAACATTCATCACCCATGCTTCACACCCATATAAGAGCGTTGGTAAAACTATACTCTCATACATTCCCCTCTTTGCCTCCAAGGACAAAGTTCTTTGTCTCCACAGACTCCTAAGTGCACCACTCAGGAGTCTGTGGAGACAAAGAACCTTGTCCTTGGAGGCAAAGAGGGGAATGTATGAAAGTATAGTTTTACCAACGCTGAGGACAATGTGTGGTGTGAATATAATGCAAAGAATCTGTAGTTTGGAAATTAGGAGGTGGTGTGGGATTACCAAAACTATTATCCAGAAGGCTGAGAAGTGGTTTTTGAGGTGGTTCGGACATGTAGAGAAGCTGGAACACAATAGAATGACTTCAAGAGTGTATAAATCTGTAGTAGAGGGAAGGAAGCTTAGGAAAGGTTTGAGGGAGGGGTTAAATGAGGTTTTGAGTGTGAGGGGCTTGGATTTCCAGAAAGCATGTGTGAGCATGTTAGATAGGAGCAAATGAACTTAATGTGCTGTTGGAGAATGAGCAAGGTAACATTTATGAAGGGATTCAGGGAAACCGGCAGGCCGGACTTGAGTCCTGGAGATGGGAAGTACAGTGCCTGCACTTTGAAGGAGGGGTGTTAATGTTGCAGTTTTATAACTGTAGTGTAAGTGTACCTCTGGCAAAACAGTGGAGTGAATGATGAAAGTTTTTCTTTTTTGGGCCACCCTGCCTTGGTAACAGACAATCAATGTGTTAATAAAAAATACTTACAATTTGGAAATTTTTTAATTAATCCAGCTCTTTGAATGAAGACATTTACTGTAAGGGGATACACAGAAGCTTAATCTAGTCTCATAATTTATTAAGTTATTTATTCAAACATTCCACAACTGGTACAGCATAAAAATAACCAGTAATGCATAAATTTAAAATAAAATTAATTACAGTACCCCCTACAGATTTTGTCCTATAAAGTAACACACCAATTTACACATACAGTAGGTCCCCACTTTACGGCAATTCGCCTTACAGCGTTCTGCTAATACAGACATTACAAATTATAACCAAAACTCGCTATACAACTCCCCGTGTTTCTAATATGGCGTGCCCCACCCACCACATTCTCTGTGAGCACATCTCTCTATTATGTCTGGAAACTTTACAAAATTTCAAGTGTTTTAAAGTTACTGCTTATTTTATATGTACTCTGATGATTATACTTATGTGTACCTGTACATAAATATACTTGCACACTGTGCTGGCATGCAGGTACACATTACAATCACTAAGAGTCTCTCTACTCTTGAATACGCCATATTAATAATAATAATCTCTTGGGTGCATTAAATGTTGTCTATTATGTTAATATAGACATTTCCATTAATTCATCTATGACATTTTCTCAAAATTATATAAGAAACACATTACATAGCATATAAACATGAGACATACACCCACAATACAATAAATTTCACATAAATACGAGGTGTGGTAGCCGGGTGGAGGGAAAACATTACGTTTTCTCTGGCCCAGCACCAGAGAAAAGGTGTATGAATCTGCGTTTGGCCCAGTCAATCCCCTTAACACATTCTACTTTGTTTACAGTTCTCGGCACGAATTCTTCTCATTATTTCTTTGTTTATGATGGCACCTAAAGGTAGACATTAGAAACTATTAACCTTGGAGAACGAGGTACATATATCAACAGTAATAATATGGCTCTGGGCCGCATTAAATATCATATGGCTATGCAGGTAGGTGTAGCTGTGTAGCCCAGGCGGACTACATCTACTGGCTACCTACACCTGACTTCCTACAAATAAATACTACAGTGGACCCCCGGTTAACGAACTTTTTTCATTCCAGTAGTATGTTCAGGTGCCAGTACTGACCGAATTTTTTCCCATAAGGAATATTGTGAAGTAGATTAGTCCATTTCAGACCCCCAAACATACACGTACAAACGCACTTACATAAATACACTTACATAATTGGTCGCATTTGGAGGTGATCGTTAAGCGGGGGTCCACTGTACTCGCCTCTCATCCTACATTAAGACTACACATATTTTAAGGTAAATAATGAGTGTACTGTATGTGTATTTTATTTCTCTGGACTGTTGAAATATCGTATATTAAGTTTGGGACAGGGAGCCAGGGCTACCTACACCTGACTTCCTACAAATAAGTACTACTCACCTCTCACCCTACAATAAGACTACAAATATTTTATGGTAAGTAATGAATGTACTGTGTATGTATTTAACTTTTTGTTATTTAATGCCTAGTTCTAATGTTAGCTTAATATATGTTAGTGTAAATTTGTTGTCTGGCATTTGTATGCATTTATAAGTTTAAATTTGTTGTCTGGCATTTGTAAGCATTTATAAGTGGAAAAAATGGTGTTCTGCTTTCCAGTGGCAGCCTGGAACCTAATCTGCCATATAAGTGGGGCCCTACTGTACTGTGAAAACTCATTTTCTTATCATTTACATGGATTTCAAGTGTCAAAAAAAAAAAAAAAATCCTTTTGTATTGAGGATTAATAAATTAAAAAAAGGTCTTCTGTTACAATAATATTAACTAAAATGTGCATTTGTAACTTTTATTTAACTACCAGAAATATGTATGTATTACTACAAAACATATATTGGCAACATAAAAAAAAAAAAAAAAAAAGTGATGGAATAAAATCATCTTAAGTACTGTGCTGAAAAATTTGCAAATACTCAAAATTGTGTATGAATTAGTAACAAAAAAAGGCACAATACCGTGACTGGAACGATACACAAATAACCCGCACATAAAAGAGAGAAGTTTACGGCGACGTTTCGGTCCGACTTGGACCATTTACAAAGTCACACTAACCTGTCCTCTTCAATACTTTGGAGAAACTGGTCGATCTCTTTCTGACAGACTTAGGGAGCACAAAAATAGTGCTAGGCTTGCCGACACTAACAATGCTCTTTTCTGTCACGTCAGAGATCATAGCCATCCTATTGACTGGTCTTCTGCTAAAACTGTCTTCCCTACTTCCAACTCGAACAGTCGCCGTCTAGTTGAATCCTCTCTAATACACAACTTTCCTTGTATGAATCTTAGCCCTGGCTTCGTCTCTGTAGATGCCTTCCTCTCCCACTACATTGTAAAATGCTCCAAACTTCAGAACACCCATGACTTAACCTGACTCCTCATTTTTTCTTTTTCTTTTTCTTCTTCTCCCTCTTCCCCTTTCCTCTTTCTTTTTCTCCTCTGGGTTGTCTTTCTTCCTTCTGTCTCGTGTTTCTGTTCCTTCTTTATTTATTTCACCTCTTCCCCTTTCACCCACTTCTGTGCACTTGCTCTCCCTCTGTGGGCACCTAGCTCCCCTGCAGTGCTCCTCTTTCTTTGTATTTGACTGGCTCCTCCTCATTCTCCACTACTACCACTACCACTACTGCTACCTCTGCTGCTGCTGCTGCTGCTGCTACTACTACCACCACCTCCACCTCTTCCTGCCTACATATAGCCGTCCTGCTCCATTCTGGTTAGTGTGACTTTGTAAATGGTCCAAGTCGGACCGAAACGTCGTCGCAAGCTTCTCTCTTTTATGTGCGGGTTATTTGTGTATTGTGTATGAATTGCTCAACTTGTATAAATGTATAAAATAAATATATATTACCAGTCACCCAAAACTTCCACAATTTTCCATTAATAATCTAAAAAGACTTGCATCAATTAGGCATACATTAAAATATTAGCTAACCAGAGTGTGTCTCGCTAAGTGAGTGAATACAGACAAGATAGCATACCTGGACAGTCTTCTTGACACGGTGTGAGGGTCCAGGGTGGTCATTGGAATAAATGTCAGAGAGGAACATGGAGTTGATGAGTGTGCTCTTTCCCAGTCCACTTTCACCTAATAAATAACAGCAACAATCAATTGCAAAAGAAGAAAATTAAAGGTGAATACAGGAAAGAGTAAGGTTATGAGGATAACAAAAAGATTAGGTGATGAAAGATTGAATATCAGATTGGAGGGAGAGAGTATGGAGGAGGTGAATGTATTCAGATATTTGGGAGTGGACGTGTCAGCGGATGGGTCTATGAAAGATGAGGTGAATCATAGAATTGATGAGGGGAAAAGAGTGAGTGGTGCACTTAGGAGTCTGTGGAGACAAAGAACTTTGTCCTTGGAGGCAAAGAGGGGAATGTATGAGAGTATAGTTTTACCAACGCTCTTATATGGGTGTGAAGCATGGGTGATGAATGTTGCAGCGAGGAGAAGGCTGGAGGCAGTGGAGATGTCATGTCTGAGGGCAATGTGTGGTGTGAATATAATGCAGAGAATTCGTAGTTTGGAAGTTAGGAGGAGGTGCGGGATTACCAAAACTGTTGTCCAGAGGGCTGAGGAAGGGTTGTTGAGGTGGTTCGGACATGTAGAGAGAATATAGCGAAACAGAATGACTTCAAGAGTGTATCAGTCTGTAGTGGAAGGAAGGCGGGGTAGGGGTCGGCCTAGGAAAGGTTGGAGAGAGGGGGTAAAGGAGGTTTTGTGTGCGAGGGGCTTGGACTTCCAGCAGGCATGCGTGAGCGTGTTTGATAGGAGTGAATGGAGACAAATGGTTTTTAATACTTGACGTGCTGTTGGAGTGTGAGCAAAGTAACATTTATGAAGGGGTTCAGGGAAACCGGCAGGCCGGACTTGAGTCCTGGAGATGGGAAGTACAGTGCCTGCACTCTGAAGGAGGGGTGTTAATGTTGCAGTTTAAAAACTGTAGTGTAAAGCACCCTTCTGGCAAGACAGTGATGGAGTGAATGATGGTGAAAGTTTTTATTTTTCGGGCCACCCTGCCTTGGTGGGAATCGGCCAGTGTGATGATAATAAAAAATAATAACAATCAATTATCATCATAAACTCCTTTAAAGACAGGGAAAAACTGCACACCTGGAGAATACATACACGTACTACAGAAAACTTTTATTACTTGTATAGACTAAGACTAAAGTGACATATAGGTAGACTGAACTCCCTGGAATTAAGTTCAGATATATCACAAGTCACACTCAGAAAATACTGGAGGAACTCTTCAAGTTATGCACAATGAAATATGTACGTATATATAAAAAGCAAGATTATCACCAGATTAAATGAAAGAAATATGTGAAAGTTCTGTTCTGGGTATAATAATGTCAGCTACCTTTAATTTAAAGAATGCAATAACGAAAATACCACAAAAGTCAGGAAAATAATTGGCTGGATGAGAACTCTTAAAACAATGGAAATAGTGCCAATGGTGACACTTTTCAAATCACTTGTGCTCTCTTAGGGTATTGGTCAGTGTCAATGGCTCCAATGAGGGCAGGAGAGATCAGAGCTGGAACAAATACAGAGATCACTTACAGCCCACAAAGAGCTAATAAAACATTTACATTACTTGGAACATTTCAAAGTCTTAAATATGTACTCGCTGGAGCAGAGGAGAGATGCATGATAATATATACACTGAAAGTACTTGAGGGCCTAGCCCCAAATGTGCACACTGTCATAACATACTGGAGTGAGATATGAGAGGAAATGTAAAATAAACCCAGTGAAAGCAGAAGAAAAGTGGGGCACAAAAAGAGAACACTGCAGCAACATCTGCAGGTCCAGATTATTTGATAACACACTACCAAAGGATATTAGAAACACTGCCGGGATAAGTGTGCAGGTCTTCAAGAGGAAACAAGATTTGAACCTCTGGCAAGTGGTGGATCAACCAGGCTGTGATGGCTATGTGGGTCAGCAAGCCACCATCAGCAACAGCCTGGTTGGCCTGGGGAGCACCAGACAAGCTTGGCCCAGGGTAGCGCTGTGAGAGTACCTGGAGGTTACCTGGAGGTTATTCCGGGGATCAACGCCCCCGCGGCCCGGTCCATGACCAGGCCTCCCGATGGATCAGGGCCTGATCAACTAGGCTGTTACTGCTGGCCGCACGCAGTCCAACGTACGAGCCACAGCCCGGCTGATCCGGCACTGACTTTAGGTATCTGTCCAGCTCTCTCTTGAAGGCAGCCAGGGGTTTTTTGGCAATTCCCCTAATGCTTGATGGGAGGCTGTTGAACAGTTTTGGGCCCCGGACACTTATGGTGTTTTCTCTTAGTGTACCAATGGCGCCCCTACTTTTTATTGGCGGCATTTTGCATCGCCTGCCCAGTCTTTTACTTTCGTAGGGAGTGATTTCTGTGTGCAGATTTGGGACCATTCCTTCCAAGATTTTCCAAGTGTAGATTATGATATATCTCTCCCTCCTGCGTTCCTACGAGTACAAGTCAAGTGCTTCCAAGCGTTCCCCGTAGTTAAGGTGCTTGACAGAACTTATACGTGCAGTAAAGGATCTCTGTACACTCTCTAGATCTGCGATTTCACCTGCTTTGAATGGAGATGTTATGTCCCAGCAGTATTCCAGCCTAGAGAGAACAAGTGATTTGAAAAGGAATCATCATGGGCTTGGCATCTCTCGTTTTGAAAGTTCTCATTATCCATCCTATCATTTTCTTTGCACGTGCGATCGTGGCACTGTTGTGATCCTTGAAAGTGAGATCCTCAGACATTACTACTCCCAGGTCCCTTACATTATTTTTCCGCTCTATTGTATGGCCGAGTCAGTAGTATACTCTGTTCTAGTTATTATCTCCTCCAGTTTTCCATAACGGAGTAGTTGGAATTTGTCCTCATTGAACATCATATTGTTTACCGTTGCCCACTGGAAAACTTTGTTTATATCTTCTTGGAGGTTAACCGCATCCTCAGCAGATGACAGCCTCATGCAGATCCTAGTATCATCCGCAAAGGATGATACGGTGCTGTAGTGTATATCTCTGTTTTTTGTCTGATATGAGGATAAGGAATAAGATGGGGGCGAGTACTGTGCCTTGTGGAACAGAGCTCTTCACTATGGCAGCCTCCGATTTAACTTTGTTGACCACTACTCTTTGTGTTCGATTTGTTAGGAAGTTGAAGACCCATCTCCCCACTTTCCCAGTTATTCCTTTAGCACGTATTTTATGGGCTATTACGCCATGATCGCATTTGTCAAATGCTTTTGCAAAGTCTGTGTATATTACATCTGCATTCTGATTTTCTTCCAGTGCATCCAAGGCCATGTCATAGTGATCCAGTAGTTGTGAGAGGCAGGAGCGACCTACCCTGAACCCATGTTGCCCTGGATTGTGCAGATTTTGGGAATCCAGGTGATTTGCAATCCTGCTTCTTAGCACTCTTCAAAGATTTTTATGATGTGGGACATCAGAGCTATTGGTCTATAGTTCTTAGCTAATGCTTTGCTGCCACCTTTATGGAGTGGGGCTATATCCGTTGTTTTAAGTGACTGTGGAATTTCACCCATGTCCAAGCTCCTCCTCCATAGTGTACTTAGGGCACGCGAGAGGGGTTTCTTGCAGTTCTTAATGAAAACAGAGTTCCACGAGTCTGGGCCCGGGGCTGAGTGCATAGGCATGTTGTCAATGGCTTTTTCGAAATCTATCGGAGTTAGGGTAATGCCGGAAATCTGGCATACATTTATGGAGTTTTGAGGCTCATTCATGAAGAAATCATTTGGGTCGTCGATCCTCAGACCGATTAGTGGTTCACTAAACACAGAGTCGTACTGGGATTTTCAATATTTTCACTCATTTCCTTGTTGTCATCTGTGTAAGTCCCATCCTGTCTGAGTAAGGGCCAGATACTAGATGTGGTATTTGCCTTGTTTTTGGCATATGAAAAGAAATATTTTGAATTTCTTTCAATTTCACTAATAGCTTTAAGCTCCTCCTGCCTCTCCTGGTTCCGTAGGAGTCATTTAGCTTAAGTTCGATAGTTTCCACTTCCCTGGTCAGCGCCTCCTTTCGTGTATCAGATATTCTAGCACTCCTGAGGAGCTCAGTGACTCTTCGTCGTCTTCTGTAGAGGGAGCGTCTTTTTCTCTCCAGTTTACTCCTGCTCTTCTTCTTTCTTAGGGGAATATGCCTAGAACATGCTTCGGCTACCAGGAAGTTGATCCTTTCAAGGCACTGGTTTGGATCCATGTCATTTAAGACATCTTCCCAACATGTTTCGTTTAGGACATGGTTTACCTGGTCCCAGTTGATGTTCTTGTTGTTGAAATTGTATTTTGTGAAGACACCTTCACAGGTATATGCATTCTGCTGTTCAGGACCCCTATGCATGTACGTCTGGACTTTGATTAGATTGTGATCGGAATTAGTTGTTTTTGATATTCTTATGTCTCTTATCAGGTCCTCATTATTTGTGAAGATAAGGTCAAGTGTGTTTTCTAGTCTTGTTGGCTTAAGGTGTGTTTTTCGCAGAGACTTAGTAGCTCATGTGTGTGTGACCTTTCATCTGCGCTACCTCCGGGGATTGTTTCAGCTATAACATTATTTGCTACATTCTTCCATTTTGTATGCCTTAGGTTGAAATCACCAAGCAGTAAGATGTTTGGGGATGGAGCTGGAAGGTTTTCCAAACAGTAATCGATTTTCAGTAGCTGTTCCTTGAACTGTTGTGAGGTTGCATCTGGTGGCAACCTCTCAAACCTCATTAAAGATACAAAGGCTCCAAGACCAACTTCATCCTAATTGTTGCAAGATTCCCCTTCTAGTTTGATTTTGTACCACAAACTACAGGCAGTCCCTGCTTTACAGTGCTTCGCTGTATGGTGTTTAGCTACTGCAGCAATTTTCAATTATACTCATTCCTCATTTGTTCAGACTTCCTACAATAAATATATTCACCACTCACTACAGGCTAAGGACAAATATATTTTAAGGTAAGGAATGTGTGTACTGTATATGCACTTTTTAGGCCTAGCTCCATTGCTCACTTAATATACGACAGTGTAAACATGTTATCAGGCTTTCATATGAGGCCTGGTC